GGGCCGGATGCACTGAGCATGGGGCACCACGCCTGCCCCCCCCGCCCGCGCGCCCCGAGGCCGACACGCGCGCGCGGCCGGACCGCGCAGCCCCCCGTGTGGACGGGCAGGAGGCAGGAGCTCCGGCGGCGCGCCCAGGGGGGGGGGGCGGGCAGAGGGCACCCTCTCGGCCTCCGAGAAGCTGCTTGGGCTTAAGTCGGGCCTGTCCCCCTACAGGGGGATTTTCGACGAAAAATAAAAACTACCCCCAAAATGATCATAAAATAATCCAAAAATAGTCTGGGGACTATCTTCCGATTATTTTTTTGACCTTCCTGAGGTATTTTTGGGAGTTCTTTCAAAAAAATGTTCGTCGAAAATCCTCCTGTGGGGGGACACGCCCGACATAAGCTCAGGCCCCTGGCCCTCCGAGGAGCTGTCGGGAAGCCCCTGGCCTCCTGGGGCGCGGTGAGGAGCCGGCCGCTGCCGCCGGCAGGGGGAGGCCTCTGGCCCTCTGCGAGGCTGCCGGGGCCTCTGACGACGGCACGGCTGGCCTTCCAGCAGGCGCGGGGGGGGGGCTTCTGAGAAGCCCCGCCACCCTCCAGGAAGGCCTGCCCCCCCCCCTTGCGTTCCCCCCTCGGCGCGCCGCCGAGAGGACGAGGAGGGGTTGACGAGGTGCTCGTAGGAACGATCAACGACTACTCCCGAGTAGGGGGGCTGCAAGGCCATATTAGGCCCGAGTGCGCACCATGTTCAGCCAGATCAGACCAGATCAGGCCAGACTGGACAGGATCATACCCTAGGAGGTAATTTCTCCCAGCGGAACCCCTTGGCCTCAAGATAGGGGTGGGGATTGAATTGGACCCGTCGAAAGAAGCAGACAACAACTACAACAACAAGCCCCTAGGCCCCAAGCGTCGGACAGGTGTTGCCCCCATAGCCCACGAAACCAGCGAACCTGATTACCAGGGCGTCTCACAATCGAGGGTGGAAATGCATCCAACACCCTTGGCAAGGGGCCGAGGAGGAGGAGGCAGAGGCCCTCCCCCCCATCCGCCCCCCCCCCCCCCAAGTTCGTCCTTCCTCCAACTGGAGACTCTGGCGGGCGGGGCCGCAGCCCGAAGGTGAGGCTGTGGAAGAGGCAGCTTCCGTCACCAGGTTGACGCACCTGCAGCCGCGCAAACCCATGCCAGGCCATCGCCAGGAAGCTGTTGGATCCTCCTCCTCCTCCTCCTCCTCCCCCTCCTCCTCCTCCTCCTCCTCCTCCTCCGCCTCCTCCCCCTCCTCCCCTCCTCACACTTGCAGCCTGAAGACGCGGAGTGTCTCGACCCAGACCCGAGGCCCTCGGCCTCCCCCTTTCTGCCCCCTTTTGTTTCCATATTTTTCCTGATAAACAATTCCTTCCTGTGCACCCCCCCAGACGAATCTTTTTGGCGAGGCGGGCGTTTTCGCCTGAGACGCACTCACCATGTATGGCCCTGGGCATTAGAGGGCAGGTCGTTTTCAAATTGTGGCTTTCGCCCTGGCGACGCGTACATTCGTCTTATTAAATTGTTGCAGACGGTTCATGGATTTGGGGGGGGTCGTTTTCAAAATGTGGCAATCATTGTGGCGACCAGCACATTCGTTTTAAAAGTTTGCAGCACGTTCCAAGATGGACGGTGGGTCGTTATCACAATGTGGTGTTGGCGCGAAGGCCACGCACATTCGTACTAAAACCTTGCAACCGCTTCAAGAATATAAAGCGGCTCGTCTTCAAAATGTAACTATCGCATTGGCGCCGCGCGCGTTAGTCTTCAAAGTATTTGAAGAGTTCGCACAATTGAAATCCCAAGAATGGTGTTGGTAGTTCCCAACCATCCTGTGGTCTTCGGTCTCTGCCTTGCAAACACAGCGCCATGCGTCCCTTCCTCATTTCCTCTCTCCCTCTTCCTCCATCCTCCCATCCTTGCCCCTGTCCTTCGCATTTCAACCATTACGACACACTCATCGCACGGTCCGTGGCCCCATAATGACCTCCACCGAAGACCCCAGCGGGAGGGTCCGCATTCGGTTCCCCGCCCACCGCATGTCAATTTTAGCATACCCTTCACAGGCTTCGTGGCCCCACTGGAAGTTCCACCGAAAGACACTGTAGCAGGGTTAACAGGCGGCTCCCCGCCCACCGCATCTCCATGTCAGCACACCTTTCCACCACAGATTCACATGCGGCTTCCTGCCGACCTCATGTCAACGTCGGCAAACCCCTCACACGCTTCGCGACCCCATAGGAACTCCACCGAAGGCCCCTGCGGCAGAGTTCGCACGCGGCTCCCCGCCCACCACACGTGAATTTCGGGCCCCCTCTCGAACCCTTCGTGGCCCCATCTGAAGCTCCACCGAAAAAAACCCAGTGGCAGGGTTCACATGTGCCGTCCCGCCGACCGCATGTCAATTTCGGTAAACCTCTCACACGCTTTGCGGCCCCAGAGGACGCTCCACCGAAGGCCTCATTGCCAGGGTTCGCATGCGGCCCCCAACCCACTGCGTGTCCACTTCGGTATACCACCCATATGTTTCGTGACCCCATAGGAGTTTCCGCCGAAGGCCCCAGCGGCAGGTTTCACATGTGGCCCCCCGCCCACCGCATGTCAATTTCGGCGCACCCCTCACGCGCTTCGTGGCCCCATACGGAGCTCCACCGAAGGCCACAATGGCAGGGGTCGCACGCGGCCCCCCCGGCCATTTTGATGCACCTCTCACGCACTTCGTGGCTGCATCGTGGCCCGCCCGAGACTCGCCTCCTGTCGACGGTCCCAGTGTTTGGTCTCGCGCCGCGGACGACCCGCGCACGTCGCTGGAGTCCTCTTCGGGCGACCTGCGCGCGTCGCGGGGACTCCCCTGCGCTTTGCCTCCAGGAGCTGCCCGAATCCCACGCGCTCTGCCCAGCGCCTCGCCCGCTGTCACTCGCCACTTGTCTTGGGTCGGGCATGTCCTCCTACAGGCGGATTTTGGACCAAAAATCAGAAATACCCCAGAAATACTACAAAAAAATAGGCAAAGATGGTCGAGACATCGTCCCCGGACGCATTTTTTACTACTTTTGAATATACTCCTCCTGTAAAGGGACATGCCCGACCTAACACTTGTCGTGTCGCCCCGTGCCACGGGCGACCCGCTCGCGTCGCCGGGACCCCCTGCTGGGCGAGCGGCGCGCGGCGCGGGGGGGTCGCGCAGCCCTCTCTGCACAGGGCCGCGCCAGGGCGGATGAACAAGGATTGGAGAAGAATGGAGGAAGGAGACCGCAATACATCGCATATCAGACAGGGCAGTTTTTAATACATAGGATGTTTCAAAATATCGGATCTCTAATACATGATTAATGTATGAATGAATTCATGCATGAACTCATCGTTGCTTTTAATACTAAATCCCTGCATGTTCAATACATGATCCGCACGCGGAGCATGCATTAAAAACGGCACTGCAACATACCACAGCAACAGCGGGGCATGTGGCCCCAGTCAGCGATCCTCGGGCTCGCCAACTGGGGCAGGACTACCGACCACAAGAAGAAACCTTATTGTGATTGTGATGGGCACCTGGTGGTGGACTGGGCAGGGAGACGGACAAAACTTGGGCGCCCGAGCTATCTGGGGCAACTCGGGTCACTCGGGCTTGGATTCCCGAAAAAGGAACCCGAGTTAGCCCTGACCCGAGTTACCCCTGATGATGTGGGGCTCTGGACGCCCGAATTATCCGGGGTAACTCGGGCCCAGGGTAACTCGGGTTCGGATTCCCGAAAATCGAACCCGAGTTAACCCTGACCCGAGTTACCCCTGATGATTCGGGGCTCTGAAAAACGGCGGCGCCCGGGGCTCGGGCCATAGCGGGCCGGCGGGCAGGAACGCAACGCACAGCGGAAACAAGCGGAGGCGAGAGAGAGCAGACGAGGAAATAGCCTCGAAGCGGCGGCGCCCGGGGCTCGCGCGAAACCAGAAAGAGCCCCCGCTCGCCCATGCCCGCTCTTCCCCCCGTCCACGCCGCAGACCTTTTGCTGGCCCCCTCCCTCATATCATATGCGCCGCGGTACTCGCAAGTGCACACGGTTGGATCATCCGCTGGGAAAATGTCAGGGGAGACGGAGCGGACATCACCGAGACACAGCACCACCGTGGAGCATGCCTGAGAGCATTGCCAGTGCCGGCAAGACATGAAAATCGTCCTGGCACAGACTGGCATCGCCAAGCAGCTGTGTGCAAGGCCGTAAGGGAAAGGGGAATCAGCGCAAATCACCAGCGTCAGCGTTGGCGCAAGAGCCTGTCGAGAAATACGGGAGAAGGCGGAGGATTCAGAGGAAGGGAAGAAAGGAAGGGGGGAAACACGGCACTCAGACTGACACGAGCTCCCCGCGGCTTTACATCACCCCTGCGAGCGACAGAAGACGGACCGAGCAAATAGAACTGGCACGAGGAACAACACAAGGTAGAGCGTCAAATGAGCGCAGCCCGACCGACGCACACAGAGCGGACCCGCCGAGGCTCGAAGGCGCCTAGGCGGCCAGGCGCAACTGAGGAGGCCCAGCCGGAGGGCTGACAGTGGGGTCAGGACCCCCATGCACGAACTCGGCCTGAGAATGCCACTACACCTCCCTCCTCCTCCTCATCCCTCCTCCTCCTCCTCATCCTTCTCCTCCTCCTCCTCCTCTTCCTCCTCCTCCTCCTGCTACTCCTCCTCCTCCTCCTGCTACTCCTCCTCCTCCTCCTCCTCCTTCTCCTCCTCCCGCTTGCTGCCGTTATATGTGGCGGGGAGGGGAGGGGAGGAGAGAAGGAAAGAAGCAACTGGGCCTGCCGCAACTGCACCTCACCGGAAGAGAAGCGGAGCTGTCTCCTTCGGGGGGGAGCGAAGGCGAGACAGGCAGAGGAAGCGGAGAGCCAGCCCACCCTGGCAGGGCTGGCGGGCGCTCCGCCTCTGGGATGCCAGAGCGGGTGGAACGAAACGAGGGGGGAAGGACATTCCAGGTGGGCGCGTGACATCTTTGA